ATTTCATTTGATTTCCATCATTAGTATTTTGTGCTCAGGTGAGCTAATATTACAACAATCACTATACATACAAACAGAAAGAAGAGGGAAAAAACTAGGCTTGATCATGCTACTTGTCAAAATTTGTTATCATTCAATTTTTTGCTTTGTTTTTATGATTTTAATGGTGATTGACAAATAATTAATCATTAGAAATGTTTAGGATAAATATAAAATCTGCCTTAATTAGAAAAAGACTGCCCCACTCTTTTGATCAAATGAGCATAAGATAAATTCTGAAGGATATTTACAGTAATTCCTGTATGCCACATGGGTTATTGAATATTTATTAAAAAATATAAAATTGGAAAAAAATATGGCAAAATGCCAACTGATTTATACCCTCAATATTTACACTTAGATGGATATAATATCACTTTAAAGAATGTTCCTGTTTAACAGTGGAACATTGAAGTGTAGTAAGAATTCTTAAAGCAACTTTGGCTGTATTGTGCACAATATGACAGAATTTAGCAAAATTCTTCCCAGTTACTAACAAAGTAAGAGAGTGACCATGATTATGTACACTTGACAACATGTTTAACCCATAAAAAAATAAAAATGTTCCCCTATAAATCAACACAAATGTATATAGGGGTGTAACTTCAAAAATATACATACATGTAAATAACATTCTTTGCTAAAGAATAGAACAATATTCATACCTTTAATCATGAAATTAACAAAAAGCCTAATCTTAGAAGTCTCCAGTTCTGAAACATTGAATTTAAACTGTAAAGAATTCTTCAAAAATACTGCATCTATTAAAGGATTTGAATTTGATGTTTGATTTTGCCCAAATCATTTTGAGAAATTTAAGAAGTGGAAATTGGACTAATGCACATTATTTCATATATTTTTTCTGCTAGAAGATATGTGCCAAAATAAAATTCAATACTTAAAACAAGAACTGTCGGAGGACAGTAACGCTCGACTATTCCAAAATTTGTCACAAGGGTGTTTCATGAGTATAATAATGCTTACCTACATGAATACATAAAATTGTCCGAAAAGGTACAAACTCTTCAAGTTTCAATACATTCCCTTCAGTAGTTATGGAGATACAAGCTTACATGCAAAAACTTAACCAAGAATTCATGAGTCGAAAAAGGGGCATAATTATGCAAAAAAGCAAATCAGAGTTATGGGACTTGTACCAATCATCTTAGATAATCACAGAGACCAAGTGTGTGAAGTTTCAATCCATTCCCTTCAGTAGTTATGGAGATACCAGCTTACACGCAACAACTTAACCAAGAATTTCTAAGTCGAAAAAGGGGCATAATTATGTTAAAAAGCTAATCAGAGTTATGGGACTTAAGCCAATCATCTTAGATAATCACAGAGAACAAGTGTGTGAAGTTTCAATCCATTCCCTTCAGTAGTTAAGGAGATACCAGCTTACACGCAAAAACTTAAGCAAGAATTTCTAAGTCGAAAAAGGGGCATAATTATGTTCAAAAGCAAATCAGAGTTATGGGACTTGTGCCAATCATCTAAGATAATCACAGAGAACAAGTCCATTCCCTTCAGTAGTTATGGAGATACCAGCTTACATACAAAAACTTAACCAAGAATTTCTAAGTCGAAAAAGGGGCATAATTATGAAAACAAGAGGGCCATGATGGCCCTGAGGTAGCTCACCTGTATATAGGCCCCCCAACCCCCCCATACACATATAGTTAAAAACAATGACACCCCTGGGGCCGGGCCAGTTTTGACCCCAGGGCTTTTATTTGAACAAACTTTGTAGACACTTACTAGAAGATGTTTCATGCTTAATATCTAAACTCTAGCTATTTGGGTTTTTTCAAAGAAGATTTTAAGTTTTTGCTATACACATATAAAGAAAATCAATGACCCCCGGGGCGGGGCCAATTTTGACCCCAGGGCTTTTATTTGAACAAACATGGTAGACACTTATAAGAAAATGTTTCATGCTAAATATCTTAACTCTAACTCTTTTGGTTCTTTAAAAGCAGATTTTTTAAGTTTTTACTATATGCATATAGGGAAAATCAATGACCCCCTGGGGCGGGGCCAATTTTGACCCCAGGGCTTTAATTTGAACAAACTTGGTAGACACCTATTAGAACATGTTTGATGCTCAATATCTTAGCCATAGCTCTTTGGGTTCTTTAAAAGAAGATTTTTTAAGTTTTTACTATATGCATATAGGGAAAATCAATGACCCCTGGGGCGGGGCCAATTTTGACCCCAGGGCTTTTATTTGAACAAACTTGGTAGACACCTCTTAGAACACGTTTCATTCTAAATATCTTAGCTCTAGCTCTTTGGGTTCTTTAAAAGAAGATTTTTTAAGTTTTTACTTTATGCATATAGGGAAAATCAATGACCCCCGGGGCGGGGCCAATTTTGACCCCAGGGCTTTTATTTGAACAAACTTGGTAGACACCTATTAGAACATGTTTGATGCTCAATATCTTAGCCATAGCTCTTTGAGTTCTTTAAAAGAAGATTTTTTAAGTTTTTACTATATGCATATAGGGAAAATCAATGACCCCCCGGGGCAGGGCCAATTTTGACCCCAGGGCTTTTATTTGAACAAACTTGGTAGACACCCATTAGAACATGTTTCATGCTAAATATCTTAGCTTTAGCTCTTTGGGTTCTTTAAATGAAGATTTTTTAAGTTTTTACTATATGCATATAGGGAAAATCAATGACCCCCGGGGCGGGCCAATTTTGACCCCAGGGCTTTTATTTGAACATACTTGGTAGACACTCACTAGAAGATGTTTCATGCCAAATATCTAAGCTCTAGCTCTTATGGTTTTTTAAAAGAAGATATTTAAAGATTTTTCTTTAGGTTGCCATGGCAAAGTTGACCACCAAAGGAACATTCCTGTGAAGTTTGGATGAAATTGGCTTAGTAGTTTATGAGGAGATGTTATTTAAAGTAAAAGTTAACGGACGGACGACGGACGAAAAGCGATCACAAAAGCTCACCCTGTCACTTTGTGACAGGTGAGCTAAAAAAGCAAATCAGAGTTATGGGACTTGTACCAATCATCTTAGATAATCACAGAGAACAAGTGTGTGAAGTTTCAATCCATTCCCTTCAGTAGTTATGGAGATACCAGCTTACATACAACAAGAGCTGTCCGTAAGACAGCGCGCTCGACTTTTTTATTGCTTGCCAATAAAAAAAGTTTTTGCAGTAAAAGGCAATACAAGAATCTCTGTATTTTTAAAGTGAACTAGTTGTTTGATACCCTTGAATATTACAGCAATGTTTATATGACATAATTTATGGTAAAGTGAACAAGTGGATAGGAATGAATTTTTTTAGATTTTTTAAGTTTTTTAGTGCTTGCCTATAATACAAAACATTGACAGTTAAGGGCCATAATTCAAATAAAATCTTTGACAGAATTACCTTCTCCTGGACATGTTTGGGAATCATGATTGTAAACAAGTATTCCAACTTTCAAATTAATATCTCAAACAGTTCAGTCAAAAAGTGGACTGGTACTAAAAACTTAACCAAGATTCTAAGTCGATAAAAGGCCGTAATTTTTAAAACAAATCCTTGACAGAGTTACCTTCTCTTGCGTACAGATGGGGGTAATGATGTGAAATAGCATTAAAAGTTTCAAAGCAATATCTCAAAGGGTTAAGGCAATAAGTGGATTTTACCCATATTCAATGTATTTTCTAAGTCAAAAAGGGGCATAATTCTGTCAAAAACCTTGACAGAGTTATGTCCTCTTGTCTGTTGATGAAGGTCGTGATGGTAAACAAGTATGGTCAGTTTCAAAGCAATACCTCCAATGGTTTTGAAATAAAGTGAGGTGGTACAAAAAACTTAACCAAGCTCAATACACTTTCTAAGTCAAAAAAGGGCCATAATTCTGTCAAAAACCTTGACAGAGTTATGTACTCTTGTCTGTAGATGGAGGTTATGATGGTGAACAAGTATGGTAAGTTTCAAAGCCATACTTGTAATACTTCTGAAATAAAGTGGGGTGGTACGAAAAACTTAACCAAGGTGTGACGCCGACGCCGGGGCGAGTAGGATAGCTCCCCTTTTCATAGAAAAGTCGAGCTAAAAACTTAACCACAGGGACGCCGACAAATGGGTGACTGCATTAGCTCGATTATTCTGTGAAAAGTCGAGCTAATGACTCTTTTTACAAATCTCAATGCAGAGCAACAGATAAGCTTTAAAAGTGAATTGGGTATTACTCCATCATTTCCTTTGGAATTGGGTATTAGCTCCATTTAATTGGGTTTTCTAAAACTCGATACCCTATGATTTCAAGATCAATTGGGTATTCAATTATGAAAATATGAATTTTATGGTTTCAATATCAATAAAATTCAAACTGTTTTAAAAAGAAAATAGGATTAACAATTTACTAGAACTTTTCACAATTGTTTTATTTTTATATACAATGCTCATGTTATGTTTCATAATATTTTAACAAGTTCGTTTTCTGACTGATTTTTGATTATTTACGATTGTTTTGTTTCAAATCATTTTCCCTTTTGCACGATGCCATATTGCTTTCAAAGCGTCTATTGATACAGGTGGGACCTACTTATTGACGGTCTCCGCAAAATGAACGGTCTCTGCCGGTCTGTAAAGACCGTCGACCTGAGTAGACAAATCGACGGTGTCGCGCTTTATTGATATGACTTAGTCGGTCTTTGGAGACCGGGGACCGTCGAAGACCGGAGACCATTGATTAGTGAGCATTGATTCGGGAATATTCGGATAGCATGCATATCGAAATAATTTGTCCAAAACTACGAGCGTACGATTGATTTATTTTGCGGTGATGAAAATGACAATACGCACGGGTTTTTAAGACAATTGCGTATTTTATTTTTTTTTAATGGGTTTTGATACGCATTCTTAAAAAATCAATTGCGTATTTCATAAAATTAATTGCGTAAATACGCAAATACGCACCTTATCTGTTGCTCTGTCAATGTAACATCACTTAACACAATTGTTTGACATAAAGCTTTGAAAGACCAACATACTGAAAACATTTTTTTTTGTAATAAAATAGCACCATTGGACATGCAGACATATATATTTGCTCGTTTGTTTTGATTTGTTTTATTTATCTTTTAAACAGTAACTACTCGAGTATTCTAAATATTTTCATAGACTCAATTGCAATTCATCTTTGAAATAAATGTATGAATAACGCAAAACAGCATCTTAGCAAACTTTAAATAACAAGATGTATTTCAAAAACCTGCCTTATGTCTATAAATAAATATTTAAATTTCCTAACTTTTTAAACTTACTATTAATGGAGAAGTTACATTGGGGTCCAGGTCATATCAAAATAAACAATACTCCCTATTCCTTCATTTACTGACATGGAATCATAAAAATAAAAGCATAAACTCAAGAGGTTACGACCAAATAAAGACCTCAAAAAGAGAAACATGTTATGAGTAATTTTGCACTACTTTGTACTATACTAACAAACCTATATGAAATTTCTTCAAAGTTAACTTTATAATAAGCCATACATCATACAAAGATTTGGTATTACTATAAATAACACTATAGGTTACACATTATTTGACTGATCATAATGCTGTATAATACCATGATATATATTTGGCATCAAAGGCACTATAAACCATGTATGAATTTTGTATAAAGCACTATATTCCATCATAAATTTGGTATAAAGCACTAAATTTGGTACATTTTAGATGTGCTTTATGCCATACACAAATTTAGTCATAATAGTACTATATGCTACACATAAGTTTGGTATAAAAGCACTATATGCCATACATAAATTTGGTATTAAGTCTACATTGTCGTAATACAGCAGCAACTGGAAGCTCCTGATATTGAGCTATCTCCTTGGCAACCGTTATTGCTAATCCTGGGTTAGACAATGGAAGATCATCTTTCGGAATCTAGAAATAGACATAAAACTTTGGAGTATGAAGCAATATACCTATTGTAGTTTACAATTATTGTTTATTTGAATTTCAAAAAAGAATACTTCTGAAATACCTTTATGAAAAAAATAAGTTGGTATTGTTCCTTCAGAGCAAACTGGAATAGGCACGAATCATTGCTGTGAAGACAGGCAAATAATTGCTTAACAGTTTAAAATGATGCTGAAAATTTCAGCATAATATTTGGTCCTGATATTAATACTGTTCACAGACAATATACATATATGTTAAATAACACATACATTATATCTCGCAACTATTTTGTTAATCCATCAGATTATCATCAGAACATCATATTTTTTATAAATAATATTAAAATATTTTATCAGATACAGCTTGAAACCCTTATCTATTACCTTGAATTAATGAAATAGTAATTACTATTGTAAATGATTGTTAAGACTTAAACACAAACAGCCAACAGTACTGTCTAGTCAGACTGCATAGATGTGCTATCACTTTTACAGTAGCAAGGTAAATGATTGCCCCTTTATTGATCACCTGAATGACTGAATCTACTTTTTACTGAATTTAACATAGCAAAATAGTAACACAATAAAATTTTAATGGCTCATTCTGTCTTTTCTAGACAGTGTGCCATGATACATAATGAATCAAGAGCCTTGTAACAAGAATAGAAACTAGAACTATCACTAAATGTGATTAATACCCCCACAAGTCTGCTTCGGAAATGAGGATGTTACTAGTAACAGAATACCTTGTAATAGAATTGAAACATAGAGTTATGGTTGTGGGCAATTAAAGATAATTGTGGTTCATGTATGTTGCATTTCCTTTCAATGTGGTTGGCCATTGATGAAGTTTAATTGAATTACTCTGTAATAAGTCCAGAAAGACAAAGAAAAAGAACAAAGGGCAATAACTCTATAAATACTGAAGATAGAGTTAAAGTTCTTATGCACTGCACTTCCTCTTATTGTGCTTGACCATTGTATGAAGTTGTTTTGAATTCCAACCAGTACGTTTTAAGTTATGCTCCGGACAAGAAAAAGTATCAAAGGGCAGTAACTCTGTATTTTGTCAAAATGGAGTTATGGCTCTTGTGCACTGCATTTCCTTTTAATGTCCTTGACAACTGTATGAAGTTGTACTGAATTCCAAACAGTAGTTTTCAAGTTATGCTCTGGACAAGGAAAAGTAACAAAGGGCAATAACTCTGTAATTAGTCAAGATGGAGTTATGGTTCTTGTGCACTGCACTTCCCCTTATTGTGCTTGACCATTGTATGAAGTTGTTTTGAATTCCAAACAGTAGTTTTCAAGTCATGCTCTGGACAAGGAAAAGTAACAAAGGGCAGTAACTCTGTAATTAGTCAAGATGGAGTTATGGTTCTTATGCACTGCACTTCCTCTCAATGTGCTTGACCATTGTATGTAGTTATATTGAATTCCAACCATTAGTCTTCAAATTATGGTCCGGACAAAAAAAAAGAAGGCAATGGAAAAGCAACAAAGGGCAATAACTCTGTAATTACTTTAGATAGAGTTATGGTTCTTGTGCACTGCACTTTCCCTTATTGTGTTTGACAATTGTATGAAGTTGTTTTGAATTCCAACCAGTAGTTTTCAAGTTATGCCACGGACAAGGAAAAGTAACAAAGGGCAATAACTCTGTAATTAGTTAAGATAGAGTTATGTTTCTTACGCACTGCACTTCCTCTCAATGTGCTTGACCATTGTATGTAGTTATATTGAATTCACACCATTAGTCTTCAAGTTATGCTCCGGACAAGGAAAATGCAACGGACAAAAAAAAAAGCAATGGAAAAGCAACAAAGGGCAATAACTCTGTAATTACTTTAGATAGAGTTATGGTTCTTGTGCACTGCACTTCCCCTTATTGTGTTTGACAATTGTATGAAGTTGTTTTGAATTCCAACCAGTAGTTTTCAAGTTATGCCCCGGACAAGGAAAAGTAACAAAGGGCAATAACTCTGTAACTAGTCAAGATAGAGTTATGGTTCTTGTGCACTGCACTTCCTCTCAATGTGCTGTACCATTGTATGTAGTTATATTGAATTCCAACCATTAGTTTTCAAGTTATGCTCCGGACAAGGAAAATGCAACGGACGTCTGGACCGACCGCCCGACCGACCGACCGACCACCGAGTGACTCCTATATACCCCCCCAAACTTTGTTTTTGGGGGTATAATAATATCAAAAAATGCTTTTCTTTACACCATTATCATAACAGAAGCTGGTAAAAAAGAAACACTTACACATCTTGGTACAAAGTATGGAGCATCTGTCTCCAGCAATAGTTTGTTTATAGGAATGTTACATGCCAAGTCATGGGACGGACTTGCTGTTCTGTATGTCACAAGGGGAGTAACTCCGATAAATAAATTAGGAAAGGCATCTATCCATAGCTTAGCGTTAGAGTACGCATTCGTGAAACAGTGGCAGTGGATTTTCCAGTTCCTCGGTATCATCTGTGAAAAGAAGTAAACTGAATTCATTATCAACATCATTAATGTCACAGCTTAGTAGTTTTTCTTCTTTTCTCTTAACCTGTAGTCTTTAAGTCACAAATATATTAAGGTGAAACCGTAACTTTCGAGCTTTCTTAAATATAATCGATGGCCTAAGCTAGCTAGATAGCTTCCTAAAATAAAAGACTTTGTTCTTACCACTCAGTAACAAGATGCGTAATAAGGTATGATGTATATGAAGGGAGACAACTACAACTTTGCTGTAAATTCCAAACACTGGAAATTACCTCCCCTTGACATATGCAAATTTATATCGCAAGTATTATTAACACCAGACAAAATCTTTCCTTATTTTGCGTCAACTCCTAAGCAAGCTGCACACCAGGTTATTTATATGTTGTTAAGAAATGCGAATGAATATTTTTTCTACACCTACACAGTCTTGATGAAGCATGCCATACAAACTTCAAAGTGTAAAATGGGGAAAAATTTGGTCAGATTGAATGCATTTATTTATCTTACTGTTCTTTTTTTACCTCTTTCATAATCTCAAGACAGTCTTCTTCAGCTTGTCTACAGTGTATGACCAGGACTTTCTGTAACTCGAGAGCCATTTTTAACTGTCGTCGGAAAACCTGCTTCTGCACTTCTTCATGCTGATGAAAACTACAATCAATTACACATTCATTTTATAATGTTTACAACCACAAAATATGTGTCTGTGTATACAAAATGATAATCAGGTTTACAAAATTCCATTCAAAAGGGGTAAAGGATCCCATGTCAACAATCTTTGCCATCGCTCCAAACTTTAAGTGCCACTTAAAAAAAAAAATTTTTTTCTTTGGGTATTATGTCATACCAATTCAGTGTAGGTCATATGGCGACATTCCTGCTTTATTAGTGTGGTAAGACCTCAGGTGCCCTTCCTTGCATTATTTCAGGCACTGGAGTAGAACCACTGACGTTCCGTAAGCTAGCTGGATAGCTTCCTTAATTGAAGAATCAGTTCCTGTTGGGATACAAACCCACAGTGGTAAAGGGCAAGTGGTTTGAAGGAAACTACCTTAACCATTCTGCTATGGATGCCCCATACTAATTTGCAAAACAAAACTGTTCAGTCATTCTTTTATTCAAGAGCAATGTAGAGTAAAATTGAAATAATTTTATGGAACTTTTAGCAAACAACTTGAGTGGCAAACAGCTATGCGACTACCTAATTCAGCAAATAGGGGAAACCTTGATAAACTCTTTATTATTATATAGATTAAACTTACGTTCCGGAGTAGTCTAATCCGATTTCTCCCAAAGCTATACACTTGGAATGACGTAGACATTTCTTCAATCCCATTTCAGCAGCTGCTGTAAAGTCTGTAGCCATCTTTGGATGACAACCCATGGCTATCCAAACATTTGGTTCCTTAGCAACATCCAACCACAAACCACCTTGAACAACATTCTCAAATTTAAAGCAAATTTCAATAGCAACATTTACTTGTGCAAACACACAGATAATTTCTTCACTTATTGACATAAGCACTACATGTTTACAAGACAAGCTTTTGTGTCTAGCTTTTTTTTTTAGAAAATTCAAGGAACCTGTTTGTTTCCATAACTCCTTCAATTATATATACGAAAAATAGTTTAAAAGGTTACTAAAAAGAATTAAATATATCCATTTTCATTAATTTGCAGTTCCTAAGGCCAATGCAACAATTATGACATGACAATATATGTAGTTGCAACTTTAAAGACCAATCAGATCACACAAGTATGAAACTATCTGTTACTGTTGTAAACTATAAACACATATATTTACCAGTAGGTGTAAAGGTGCTTGGGTTACAGAATACAGCTACACAGCCTTCAAACATGTCTGGAAATGACTCTGAGTGTTTATCCATGTACGCCTTAAAGCTCCCCTTGAAACCTTCCCTCGAGAATAGAAAGTCCAGATGACAGTGAGTGTCTATATACTTCACACCAAAATTGTGAAATATTTTGAAATTTGTCATCCAGTCTGACCGAGTGGATTTTGATTCACTATCCGTTTCAGACGGTGAGTTCAATCCTCCTGCTTGCCCTGGGGAAAAAGAGTACCTTTGAGAAGGATTTTTCAGTAGCCATTTCCGTTGCACCTGTTGTACTGGTGAGTTAGCAGGTTTTCCCTGATCATCATCATATTCTTTATTCTTCCCAGCCAAGGCTGAACTGCTAGGTGTGGAATACATACTCCAAAACGGACTATTAGGAAATGGTGGTAAAGGGGGTAAAGGAGGTAATGGCTTCTCTTGTTTTAAATCATGTTGTCTAAAATCTTGATTTGTGCGATCTGTTGTATCACCACCTGGTACTCTTCCCTCTGATTTTCCAGACCTGTATGAATCTGCTATGATACCAGCAAGAGTTCTCTTCTTAAACTGATCTTCTATCATTTTCTTTGGTGCGTCTTCTTTAACTTTTGAACACATTGGCTGCCTTTCTGTCCCAGAAAAAGACTTCAATGTCTTTTGTTTCAGTTTTTTAGTACATCCTCTACTTAATTTCAAGGTTGCTGTGGAGTTCAAAGGCACTGTGCCTCTATTTTCTTTCTGAGTACCGTCACAAGAATCTCCGGATGAAAAATCATCAGGTGAATCAGTTTTGAGTTTCTTTGGTATCGGTGCCAACTGATTTACTTTGAGACCAATTTCCTCATCAGTGTCACGTAAACTGTCAATATCAAATGGTTCAATTTCTGATGAACTTCCCCCACTAGAGTCATACTCAACAAGGCTTAAAGAATGTCTAGCTTTCTGAGTTGTACCAAAATTCTTTCTTTCTTCATCAGGGCTGTTCTTGGTCAATTCCATGTGGCTATCTCTCTGTTGTATATGATAATATGGTGGAAAAGGTGGAGAAAATCTTGTAAATGGTTTGGCCTCATTTTTTCCGTACATTTGATGGTTGGCTTTAGTTTCAATGTAGTCTGGTCTTTTAGGAGTTTCCCTAGCAGTTTCTGGTCCATATACTGGCCCTGGACCAAACATTTGGTAGGGTGATGATGGTGGAGGCCAATGCATTGGAGGAGGCATACGCATGGGAAGAAATCTTGGATCCATTGTCCACTTTTCCATGTGGGAGAATGAAGGTAACCGTGGACGAAACTGGCCGCCTCTGTAGGGTGGCGGAAGACTCAAATATGGTGATCTTGGTCGAAAAGACGCTCCTGGTCTATAGATATCTCTCGTAAATTGACATGATCCTACAGGTTCTTCACCTCTGTGATCTTGAGTTTCCATGATTTCATTCACTGGAATTTTTTCATCACAATCGTTATTCAATTCGTATCTAGCCCTTCTCTCAAAGTTTTGATTCTGCATTTGAGAACTTTCTGCATTTTTCTTTAATTTCGCAATTTCATTTGTATTCCAAATGCGTTCATTGTCTGAGCTGTGCGGGGATTGTGTTAGAAATGAAAATTGAGTATTTTCATCTCCACTAGTTTCACAATAATCTGCTGAACTGGATTCACATTTGGACAACTTTAAACTCGAGACTGCTGACGGCACTTTTTTCAATTGATCAGTTCTTCCTAAATACACATTTTGGAACACAGAGTCATTCACTTTATTCAGACGATTAACAGCTCCCTCGTACAACCCTTTTTCCCTTAACTTTCCAATTTGACTTGAACCAGATATTGGAAACTCTTTTCCCTTATCAGACAGTTCCCCAGTTTCATTATCCTTTGCATTTTTATCATATGTGTAGTTCTCAACATTTGCATCATTTCTCACTTTATCATTATATCCATCAAAATCTTCAGCAATATCATTATTCCCCTCCAATGAGAACTTCAATCCGGGGATTGATATAACGCTATTTTTATCTTTGTCTTTCCCTACCTCCAATGATGAAGAACCCTGTAAAAGATGATGACTGTCTATCCTACCATGACAAATGGGCAAACTTTGCTTGTTATGATGTTTCAAATTGTTATTATAATCTTCAGACAATGTACACTGTTCTTGTCTCATGTTTCCAGCATTTACACAATGTCTAGTATCAACATACTGCCCATACTGCAGACCTTTCTGCTTTATAATACTTCTCAAAGAAGGTTTAGTTGCGCCATTGTCAGATTGACCATGTAGCTCACTCTCAGCATAACATCTTTGTCTGTACTTCTCATCCTCACTTGTTCCTTTGTAATTTCTGTTATTCATGCCTGAAAAAGTAATTTTCTTAAATTTCTCTCTTTTTAAATAACACCCCTTTCCCTGATTTAAGTTCTTCCCTTCAATTAAGAAAGTTATAAATAACAAACTAGAAATGTGTCCATAGGACACGGGTGCCCCCACCGCGCCAGTGTTCAGTCAATCTTTTTACTAAGTCAAGGGAAATAACTCTACAAATACTGGACAAATCCACAAGCGAAACCCCAGGTGCAAATCTAAATATGCTGAGCAACCTGCCCATTAGGTTTAATGACTATGTCAAATCCTTTTTGAGTAGCATGCGACACAAGTTGAAAATTGCAAAAAATTTCTAAGTGAAGGGCAATAACTCTAAAAATACTAAATAAATCCAGACAAAAATACCTGGTGCACAACTGCACATGCTGATCAATATTCCTGTAAAGTTACATGACTCTAGGTCAAATACTTTTTGAGTTACATGCGACACAATTTGAAAATTGCAAAATTTTACTAAGTCAAGGGCAATAACTCTGAAATTACTAAAAATATCCAGAAGAAAATACCCAGGTGCACAACTACACATAATGATCAACATTCCTGTAAAGTTTCATGACTCTAGGTCAAATACTTTTTGAGTTACGTGCGACACAAGTTGAAAATTGCAAAATTTACTAAGTCAAGGGCAATAACTCTTAAAATACTAAAAATATCCAGACGAAAATACCCAGGTGCACAACTACACATGCTGATCAACATTATGTAAAGTTTCATGACTCTAGGTCAAATACTTTTTGAGTTACATGCGACACAAGTTGAAAATTGCAAAATTTTACTAAGTCAAGCGCAATAACTCTGAAAATACTAAAAATATCCAGACGAAAATACCCAGGTGCACAACTACACATGCTGATCAACATTCCTGTAAAGTTTCATGACTCTAGGTCAAATACTTTTTGAGTTGCGTGCGACACAAAAGTGAACGGACGGACGGACGGACGGAAGGACGCACTACCGAATAGGGATAGGGGGCCATCTAACTGTAAACAGAACAAAGGAGAACAATAGAATTCATTCTGTAACAATAGAGTAAGGGGCCATTGGCCCTCTATTAAACAATAGAAAATAACAAAAGAAAAGGCCCCTTGTTCCATTTCGGCCGGACGGACGGACGGACAAGGGTAAATCTAAATGCCCGCCACTATCATGGGGGCACAAAAAAATCTAATCAACAGAAAACTTAAACATGCAAAAATGAAGGCAAACTATTATTGACATCTGTTCACGAAATTAATCCTTTTGCCCAATAGTTAAAAGATTAGATTCTTTCTTCAAGTGATTCAAGAATGGCTATTATTTAATGTTTCTTAAAAAAAGAATTTGTCTTGAGACTTGCTTCCGGTAGAATATTCCATTTTCCCTTTAGGGATTAAATTCCTTGTATACCATCTGGTCACTTAATAGCACAAACTTATTACTTTCTATCCACACGTGTTTACCTACTGTGCCGCTATGATAATGTGAGAGTGACGTTGCAATTTTTGTGTACACAAAAGTTTACAATCTTTGTCTGAATAGGTAAAACAGGGTATTTAGAAGTGAATATGATTCAAAATCAGAAATAGAATTTGAAAAGTCTCGATGGTAAAGTTGGTTAAGTCACTAGGTTGCCATACTAATTAAATTGTATCATGAGTTCGAGCCACACAAGTTGTCAACCCTTTTTCTTTCCCTATTTTCATTTTTACATGAGATGCAAATTAATTGGAATATAAAGGCAGTTTTGTTATAATTTCGAATAACTTATATATACCGGAAATAATAATTTTTATTCTGTGTAGTGTGTAATATATATTAGTAGTACTTTTGCAGTGCATAAGTTTTTCGTGCCAACTTAACTATAGTTGAAACAATTTATGTACATGTATGCATTCCGTATCAGGTTGCACCAACTTGCTAGATATAGCAACATTTAAAAACAAAAGTGAAATTAGAAGTTAATAGAAAATAACACAGCGCTAATAATCTGTACAAGAAAAAAAGAAATTCTTAATCGATTGATAATTATACAAAAAAGTTTGGGACCGAACCTAGCTGTCTTGCATTGATATGTAACTAAATATTTTCCACACAACCATACCTACTGTGTTACGCCGCCAGTTGGTAAATTTGTCGATATTTTAATTTATATGGCAAGCCTGCTTGACTTAAGATGATAACTGTTTTACACCGTTTAAGTGGACTTGACCACCGCGTCACTAAATAATTATCCTAAACGCACAGTACTTCAATATTTTGTGTTCATTATTTACAATGTACAGGAAAGGTAAAACTACCTAGAGCTGCAGCTTTCTGACCTTTGAATAAAATTTCAGTTTTGTATTTTTTTTGTATTTTCTATTCTTACCTCTTACAACTTTTTCAAAGCCAGGTGGTGGACAGATTTCAATATTCTTCACAGCTTTTTCTCCCTCTGATTTACATACAGCCAATTTTTCTTTTTCTTTGGAAACTGAAAATTAACAAACTAAATTCAGAGATGGTATCCTATCCTGTGGCAAGTAAATGAAAGTATGAACAAAAGGGCAAAAGACAACCCATTTACTGCTAACTTACTTGAAAGTATGCAACTCTTACATTTACTGCTCAGACAAGCTGTTTGTTTGATTGGTTGGTTGAACTTTGTCACACCATCACGGTAAAGGTCATTCAGTGACTTACCAGTTATACTGGTGGAGGTTATATCTTACATGCCCCTTTGTGCAGGCAAGAGCAGACTGAGAGTAAAACCATTAGTCTTCTGCAAGCTAGCTCATGAAAGAATCCAAATCCCTGACAAGATTCAAAGCCATAACAGTGTGGGGCAAATGATTTAAAGTAGGCAAAATTAACCACTTGGCTATGAAGACATGCATAACTAAATTAAGATATGTAGATATGTACAAATTTCTAACATTCTATCAATAAATTAACACTCTAAATTTTTTTAGAAACATCTGATTTTAGCCATGCATGGTGCCCAGAAAACTAACATGAGGGCCATCATGAGGTCGCTCACCTGTATATAGCCCCCCCTCCCTTTGGCAGGGCCAATTTCAACCCGTAGGCTTTTATTTGAACAAACTTGTTAGACACCCATAAGAAGATGTTTCATGCTAAACATCTAAGCTCTAACTCATTTGGCATTTTTACTATACACATATAGTTAAAAACAATGACACCCCTGGGGCTTTTATTTGAACAAACTTTGTAGACACTTATTAGAAGATGTTCTAAACTCTAGCTGTTTGGGTTTTTTAAAAGAAGATTTTTTAAGTTTTTGCTATACACATATAAGGAAAATCAATGATCCCCCGGGCGGGGCCAATTTTGGAATTAAATTCTTTTAACAGTTTTTAAAGGTGACCACCAAAGGAACATTCCTGTGAAGTTTGGATGAAATTGGCTTAGTGGTTTAAGAGGAGATATCATTTAAAGTAAAAGTTTACGGATGAACGGACGGATGGACGCCGGACGAAAAGCGATCACAAAAGCTCACCCTGTCTCTTTGTGACAGGTGAGCCTAAAATTCATGCTCTATGCAAGATCAATTGATTTCACTCGCTTGAATTTCTTTATCTTGACTGTCATAATTCAATTCATATTTCCATTATCTCTCATAATTCCAGTTTTGGTATCTTAGAATTTTCTGCATTATCATTCTATTTCCTTATTAGTCAACTTGGACCCAGTAATTCCATGCACTTGAAGGTCTGTCTTCACTTCAAGGATTTTTTTCATGTGTGAAATAAGGTACATTGGGAAAATCTTTTAATACATCTACCAAAATACAATACCTTTTTGCCCTCAAAAAGAGAACATCAAATTATTACCTTTCTTATGCTTTGGCAAATCTATGTTTTTATTATCTGTGGCTGGCGTAGAACACAATGGCTGAATTACAAACCCAGGAGCTTTACCACCTACTTGTCTAACTCCAGATTCATCATGCTCTGCAAGAATAAATACAGTTAATAGATTAAACGTAACACAAAAGGTGATAAATCATATATGTTGCAAAAAAATGATATCATGATCAGCTAGACATTTCTTTTCCTAGATTTTCTACAAATTCAGTAAGCACAAGACAAAAATAACAAAACATTTAAAATTCTTACAAACAAATCAAAATCCATACATCAATTGGTGAAATGCCAATTTAAAAAAAAATCTTACAAAAGAAATCTTTCAATACAACAGTCCCATCCATATAACAAAAGAAAGACAAACAAAATTCATTTGTTTTATAAAAAGTTTATTACCTAATGATTCAATAGATTGGTATCCATGGTCAAGACTTCTCTCATCAAAGCCAGATGACAGGATCTTGTGCAGTCTGGTTGGGTTGCCAGCCCCACAAGCACAGGCTCGCCACACCATAAATGTCACTTGGGAAGGTTTACATGTACATGAAGGCTCATACTTTTTACCCTCATTTAAATCGCTTATCTTTTCCTCAGTATCAGAAACATTTTTTGACTTTTCCTTTTGCTCTTTAACTTTAACACTTGAAATTTCTACAGACTTGGGTATAATTTTACCACTATGGAAGCCATTTGATGAAGTGTCTTCAGACTTCCTTAAATTCCGGTTATATTCATTCAGACTATTCTTAGAGAGGGGATCAGCCTCTGTAAGGTCGAGCCTTTTATCACTTATTATCTCAGGACTATGGTTATTTACCCACTGATGCATTCTTTCACACTTGTATTCTCTTAAGTTTAACTCCTCTGCATTTTCTAGGCAGCTGGCGGTAGTTTTCAATTGATCAGTCTGTTTAGAATGGTCTTTCCTTACATGATGACTTGGCTTTTTCCTATCTAGCCTTTTATTGATATTTTTACTTTCAACTTGTTCAATAACCTTGTCTTCAGTAGCATTTACAGCACTACAACTTTCCATCTTTGACTCATCTTGGCATGAATATGAATCACCATACCAATAATAAGGATCCTGACCACCATACTGCATTTGTCTATTGTACATGTCCCAATAATATGTCATTTGAATTTGCTCATACAATCTGCAGTAGGCTTCATAGTCGTATGGATAATTATGATGCCATTGACCAAGCTGCCCTCTTTGCATATAATCTGCAGTGACCGCATCTTGACCATACCAATATCTAACATACTGCTCATAAGCATCTCGACTTGACTCATACTCTGTATTTTTTTCTCCAATATTCGCTATGGCAGACACAGTATTTCCACTTTCTTGATCAGCTTTCTCACAACAAAAACCACCGCTTCTTTCATTCTCCCAGCACTTGTTCTCATCTAAAGGTAGATCTGAAACATCAGCTTCACTAGTCATATTGTCATTGGCAGAATAAACACAAACTTGTTCCTGATTCGCATAGATAGAGCTTAATGAACAACTGTCTTCAGCAACTTCTTTTTTGTTAATGTTTCTTTCATAATTTGTAATATCTAATTTTGTTTCATGTCCAATGGTTTCAAAATTATTTTCAATATTCTCTCCTGTTGCTTTATCTTCTGATAAACCTTGCATGTTCGTACTTGCAACATCATTTTCTGAGTGCAATTTCTTACTTTCAACATATTGACAAGGACTATTTTTATTTGAAAGGCTTGTATGCTCTTCTTGAACTGTAACAAAATTTTCTGCATTTCCTTCTAAACCTTGGGGCTTGATCTGGATTTCATTGAAATTTTCACTTTTTCCCCAATTTTCCTTGTCACCTGATGCAAGAACTTCAGCAGGTATAGGTGGGAGATATACATTTGGGTTTTTTGAGGCCAACAACTCCTTTGTTGATAAGGCACTACTGATATCTTTGTCACCTTCATGCTCCTTAGAATAGACTGAACTTCCTTCCACATCTGAAACATTTTGACACAAGCTTTCTTGCTCAAACTCAAATCTTTTTGCACCAGAATCTCCTTCCAAAGCAACAATTTCTTCAGGTATTGTTCCCTTCTGTTCTAAATAGTCTACATCTGGTGCACTTTTTGGAGGCATGGGAGGGAAATATTGTTCTACATGGTTATCAATTGATACTTTTTCAACAATCACTTTTTCGTTTAATTCAAGGCAATGTTCTTCAGGAATTCTTCTACTTTTGTCATCTATTTCATCATCAGGAATAGCATTTGCATCAGCATTAATAGCATCTAAATCAAGTAATTCTGACGACCAGTCTTCTGAGGCAGGCATCTCCCAATTATTTTCAACTTCATTTCTGCAAGCACTATTCATTCTATTGAATCCACTTCTTTCAGCCTTAAACTTTACAGGTGTTTTTATTTTCAAATCAAGCAACTGCCTTCTATTCTGATTATCAAAATGTTTTACATTTTCTTCTACATGTTTGCTATTGTTGACATTTCTTAAATGCCTATGTTTCTGAGGTCTATGCCAAGAGTCATTACCCCTTGCATTCCTAAAACTTACATCGGCACTTTCTAATTTATCACCATCACCACTACCACGATTATCTCTGAAACGAGGTGGCATATCATACTCAACATGATTTCTTCGAGGTCTCTCTGATAAATTCTTTGATGGGCTATTCCTACAATGACCATCTCCTCTTTCGAATGTTCTTGAAGCATTGTGAAAATTCCTCATTTTACTTGGTCCGTCAGAGCCGTTACCTTCTTCGTGTGTCACACAGTTGTCAGAGTCAATGCTACCTGTCAATATGTTCAAATCAGCTTTTACCTTCTCTTCAATCTGCTTAACAATCTTTGGAGAAAAACTATTGTCAGATTTATTTGAAAATGAACAACTTGTATCAAACTCCTTATCTAGATCATGGAAAGAACCACTCTTCTTTGGAGTACTATGAAATGGTAAACTTTGTTTTTCAGAAGTATATTCTTCTATTCTTTTAGCCTTTTCTTTGTCAGTACAACCAACAACTTTTACTAAATCTTTAGGACATTCATTGGTATTTTCAGTATGTTTTTTCTCCTTAAGATTCTCATAACCAAGAGTTGTTTCCAATTCCGTTTTGGATTCCAGAGTTTCTGTATAATCGACTTCTTGAATATAATTGTTGTTGAAATCAGATTGAGAATTAACAATACTTTGGTTACTATCTTTTCTATCTCCTAAAATATTCTGTAGATTATCTTGTTGATATTTAAAATTATATTCATTGACAACTAAGTCTACCAAGTCATTTTCCCAATCTTCAGATTCACCCTTACTGAACTCACTTACATTGTTGTCTTTCACACTAAGGTTAAAAACATTTTTTACAGTTTCTGTTGCTTCTTTAAAATTCACAATGTCATCTCCCTCATTTCTATTTTCTCTCTTATTTTTATTTTCATCTAAAACACTCCTGTGATTGAAACCTGAAGAGGCTTTATTTCTACAAAAGTCATGATCTCTTCTCTTTCTATATAATGAAGATTTAGAATCATTCCTTTTGAAACTGCCAACATTATTATTTGGTTCCTTTTCAGACACAAAGCAATCTTTATCTCTACTTTTAAATGTAGAGAATCTCTTCACCTCTTTGTGATTATCATCTGGACTGGTTTCTTTCTTCCCACAGACAGACTTATTATCAGTTTGCTGTTTTAAAGCATCTGATTCCTTTTTAAAATGTTTAAAATCCGACTTAGGAACTCGTCCTAAATCTTTTACAGACTGTTTAAAAATACGAAAAATCCCAGGTCTGCCTTTGGCTTTATCTGAACTAGATGGGGTATCTGATAGTGACATGATCTGTCAAACAATTATCTGAAAAAGGAAACAATACAGAAGTAGCATCCAGCAATCAATTGTAAAACTCTTCTTCTAACCTTATATTAAAGAGTCCAAATACAGGCACTTACCCCAGGATTTTTTTCAAGGATTTTGGGAACATGACCCATACCCATGGAATTCAGCGATGTTTTGTTAAAAACTTGGGAAAAATGAATGACTGAAATTTTGCAGTGATTAAATGAATTCAAACAATCACTGTGTGGACTAGGATGGCATTTTCAAACATTTAAGCACTATAGCATTGAAGAAGCCCTTATTTTCAAAGATTTCGGAATTTATTCAGTATTTTTATTTTGTAACTTTCAAATAGGATTTCTTTCACGTGAATTGGGAAAATAATATACTATTTTCAATTGGGAAAATGACCGAATATTGGCTATAAAATAAGCCCAAAAAAATCCCTGTACCCATCAGCAAACATTTGCAAAAATCAAGAAGATTCTTCCTAACCAATCTAATATCTGCATCTGATCAAGATATAGAAGTTAAAGAAGCTTTACATAAACATTAACCACCTTTATAGTTACAAATTAAATTCATCCTGTAAACTGAATAAACGTGATGCTCAAATTTAATGACTATTTAAAGATAATAGTATTGCCAGGCCATTGACAAGACTTAACAGTGTACAATACAGAACACACAATTGATGTTTCATGCTAAATATCTAACGTCTAGCCTATCTCTGGGCCTTCTACTTTCAGACAAGCAGATTTTCTAAGTTTTTACTATATACATATAAGGAAAACCTATGACCCCCCGGATGAGCCAATTTTCACACCACAGGCAAAATTTGAACAACAATTGTAGAAGTTGACTAAACGGAGTTTCATGCCAAGTATCTTAGCTCTTGCCTTTGTTATTTAAACAACTTTGGAAGAGAACCTATAGATGATATCATGTAACATATATCAAAGCTCTGGGCCTTTTACTTTATAAGTTTTTACGACATGTCCATAATGAAAATCAATGAACCCAGGGAAGAACAAATTTTGACCCCAGGGCTATACCTTGAACAATCTTGGTAGAGGTCTCCTACACATTATGTTTCATGCCAAATATTTAACCTCTAGTCTTTGTCATTCCAAGGAAGAAGATTTTTTTAAAGTTTTTACTAAATACAAGGAAAACCTATGACCCCCTGGGGGGAAGGGGGGGCCAATTGTGACACTAGGAGCAAAATTTGAAAATCTTGGACCTATAGATGATATTATATACCAAATATGGAAGATCTGGGCCTTGTACTTTCAGACAATTAGATTTTTTTAGATCCTTTTCTGGCCCGGTGACCTACTTATGCAACAGACCGGAACCATTTGAACAACTTTTAAAGGAGGCCACCCAAGGATCATCAATAGTTTCACAGGAGATGATGTTTAAAGACCAAGCATGACGACGGATGTAGGGGGATCACTGTAACTCACCATGAGCATGTTGTTTTCACATAACCCTTTAGTCGATGAGAACCAGTCTGGCTATAGTCAGAGCCAATCAGTAATATGTTTGTTCTCATGTTCCCATATTCAAAGCGCGGCATATTTTAACATGGCAAAGCTGGGGAGCCAATTTTGATTTTGTCGAAAGATTTTGTAAATGGAGTAAAACGGAGATAATCTTAATGTTTATTTCACCTATCAGGGTTCGACATTTACGGGATCCCGCGAGCCCGAGGATCGTAAAAACTCGGGAGGAATCTCTGCTGCTCAGAGCTGAAGATTCCGCCGGGATCGTTGTTATTATTGCCAATAAACTAATTCTAAATAAAGTACTTGAATAAACTAGATAAAAAATTAAGAAAATTGCAATCATTCAACTGCGTTTCAATATCGGGGATAGAAAAAAAAGAATAAAAAATAAAATTAGTTGCCTCCAACCCGGTCTTGATAATCTTTATCTTTTAGACGCTTTATTTAAATGAGTCGCCAACAACGGCAAGCGCTTGCCGATTGCAATCTATTTTCGCGATGTGGCGTTACTTAAATCAAGTGACAGAACCCCCTAAAAAGAAAACTAAAACTTCTGAAGAAAGGAAAGAGACTCAGCGCGAATATGACAGGCTTCAACGTGACCGCACCTTTCAAAATACATGGCTGACGCAATTTTCTTGGTTAGTATATGACGGTGAAAAAAAAGAAATGAAATGCAATGTTTGTATAAATTATGACAAGACAGGGTCGTTTATAACGGGTTGTGATAATATGAAATTAAAAAATATAAAGAGGCATGATCAATCTGAGTGTCACATCAATAATGTTAAACGTCAAAAGGCCAGTGTTGCTCCCGGATCATCAGCTGCAAACAAGGCTGTGAAAATGTTGAATTGTGCAGCATTTTCTAAGTTAAAACTTCTATTTAGAAATGCCCACTATATTGCTAAATCTGGCAAACCATACTCTGACTTTATATATTTGTGTCAGTTGGACATTATGAAAGGGATAGATGTTGGCACAACCTACATCAATGACAAATATTGTGCCAAATTTATAAGTGCCATTGCAGCTGTTAGGAAGCAAGAGCAAGATAGGATCATCAGTGAGGCTCCATTTATGTCAGTAATTTCAGATGGAGCCACTGACAGTTCATGTAAGGAAGCTGAAATCGTACTTGTGAGGTCTTCATTCCAGTGTCAGGTACAACTTAGTGTTAAAATTACTTTATTTCAAGTATTGGTTTTAGCAATATTTGGTCAATAAATGGCAGGCTGGTGCAGTAGATTTAAGTAATTTTGTTATTATCCTTGTTACAATATTAAGAGGAAATAGGCTTGAATTCTTAAATAAAAGTTTACTATCTTAACCATTTTTCATGAAGTCCTATGAAGCCTTCATCCATTGCTAATTTAATACAGAATATCAATGGTTCTAATGATCAACATTTCAGGTTCAAACCCATTTTATAGCTATTAGAAATGTTCAAAAAGCTGACAGCACACACATAACAGAAGCCTTATCTGATGCACTTTCTGAACGTTTCGGTGAAGCTTGGAAGAAAACACTGGTAGCTATGGGGACGGATGGAGCCTCAGTTATGCTCGGTTGCAAAACAGGTGTTGTACAGAAAATGAGGGAGCTGACAAAATCTCAGATATATGCAATTCACTGCTCGGCACATAGGTATCAATCTAAACAAGTTAATAAATAAGAGTATAACCTTTTCATTTATAAGACCAAATTCAAATTGTATGAATATTTGGGAAATAAATATTATAGATAAGTATTGTTCATTTAAAACTTTTAAGGCCACAAAAGTTAAGACAATTTTTTACATCATCTTATTCTTAGATAACTAGTACTTTTATGAATCCGTAACTTATTAGTCACTTTTGATTTACACAAATGCAAATAGTTAACATATATCACCATGTTTTTCTGTAACCAACAGATTGGAGCTTGTTTACAAAGATGCTGTGAAAAAGCTTCCCAGTAAGACCCACAACAAATGTGAAGCCCTGCTCTTGAATTTGTATCTGTTTTACAAGTAAGCATTTTTTTATCATTAACTGGTAATTTGTCAGCATAAGTAAGTTTACAAAATACTGTCATTTAACTGCTAAGGCTCATCATTCATTAGTAATTGCTTAACCCTTTCACTGCCATAAGGACGGCTTAAGCCGTCCCTGTTATTATCGGCGTATTTGCCATATGGACGGCTTTAGCTGTTTTTATAATAATAATAGTAATAATAATAAATCAATAATAATAATAACTAGAAATGTGTCCATAGGACACGGGTGCCCCCACCGCGACACTGTTCTGTCAATCTTTTTACTAAGTCAAGGGAAATAACTCTACAAATACTGGATAAATCCACAAGCCAAGCCCCAGGTGCAAATCTAAACAAGGAACATCGCAATGCGATGCAACCAGGTTTTCAGCAAAATATTTCACAGAAGCTTTGTCATGAAGGGGCATTTGTTTTTTATTGAATTTTTAGGAGGAATTATGGCTTTTTTAATATTCCTCAAACAAAAATGTTTGAGAAATTTTATTTTGTCTATTCGCCTTTTTTCCCCAAATGTTTTAGAAAGGTAAACAGTACTTTATTTTTGCTTAATTTTTGAAGTTGCGCACTGTAGAAATTGTTCACTATTTATTCTGTATAAGGAAAAAATATACAAAGGGCCATAATTCGGTCAAATATTATCCAATCATAAAACCCCGGCAATATGTGCCAGGCACTTGATAACAAAGCTTCTAAGAAAGTTTGGTCAAAATCCGTTGAGAAATGTAGGAGGAGTTGCGCACAGAAGAAATTGTTCACTATATATTATGTATAAGGAAAAAATATACAAGGGCCATTATTCGGTCAAATATTATCCAATCACAAAACCCCAACAATATGTGCCAGGCACTTGATAACAAAGCTTCTAAGAAAGTTTGGTCAAAATCCGTTGAGAAATGTAGGAGGAGTTGCGCACAGAAGAAATTGTTCACTATATATTCTGTATAAGGTAAAAAAACAAAGGGCCATAATTAGGTCAAATGTATACCAATTGCAAAACCCTGGCAATATGTGTCAGGGCACTTGATGACAAAGCTTCTGAGAAAGTTTGGTCAAAACCCGTTGAGAAATGTAGGAGGAGTTGCGCACAGAAGAAATTGTTCACTATATATTCTGTATGAGGAAAAAAAACAAAGGGCCATAATTAGGTCAAATATATACCAATTGCAAAACCCTGGCAATATGTGTCAGGGCACTTGATGACAAAGCTTCTGTGAAAGTTTGGTCAAAATCCGTTGAGAAATGTAGGAGGAGTTGCACACAAAAGAAATTGTTCACTATATATTTTATATAAGGAAAAAAAACAAAGGGCCATAATTAGGTCAAATATTATGTAATCGCAAAACCCCGACAATATGCGCCAGGGCACTTGATGACAAAGCTTCTGTGAAAGTTTGGTCAAAATCCGTTGAGAAATGTAGGAGGAGTTGCGCACAGAAGAAATTGTTTACGCCCGCCCGCCCGCCCGTCCGCCCATCCGCCCGCCGACATACCTCAATCTAATAACCAGTTTTTTCCTTCGGAAAACCTGGTTAAATATGCTGAGCAACCTGCCCATAAGGTTTATTGACTATGTCAAATCCTTTTTGAGAAACTTGCGACACAATTTGAAAATTGCAAAAATTTTCTACATGAAGGGCAATAACTCTAAAAATACTAAATAAATCCAGACGAAAATACCTGGTGCACAACTGCACATGCTGATCAAGATTCCTGTAAAGTTACATGACTCTACGTCAAATACTTTTTGAGTTATGTGCGACACATGTTGAAAATTGCCAAATTTTACTAAGTCAAGGGCAATAACTCTGAAAATACTAAAAATATCCAGACGAAAATACCCAGGTGCACAACTACACATGCTGATCAACATTCCTGTAAAGTTTCATGACTCTAGGTCAAATACTTTTTGAGTTATGTGCGACACAAGTTAAAAATTGCAAAATTTTACTAAGTCAAGGGCAATAACTCTAAAAATACTAAAAATATGCACACGAAAATACCCAGGTGCACAACAACACATGCTGATCAACATTCCTGTAAAGTTTCATGACTCTAGGTCAAATACTTTTTGAGTTACATGCGACACAAGTTGAAAATTGCAAAATTTTACTAAGTCAAGGGCAATAACTCTGAAAATACTAAAAATATCCAGACCAAAATACCCAGGTGCACAACTACACATGCTGATCAACATTCCTGTAAAGTTTCATGACTCTAGGTCAAATACTTTTTGGAGTTACATGCGACACAAGTTGAAAATTGCAAAATTTTACTAAGTCAAGGGCAATAACTCTGAAAATACTAAAAATATCCAGACCAAAAATACCCAGGTGCACAACTACACATGCTGATCAACATTCCTGTAAAGTTTCATGACTCTAGGTCAAATACTTTTGGAGTTACATGCGACACAAGTTGAAAATTGCAAAATTTACTAAGTCAAGGTAATAACTCTGAAAATACTAAAAATATCCAGACGAAAATACCCAGGTGCACAACTACACATGCTGATCAACATTCCTGTAAAGTTTCATGACTGTAGGTCAAATACTTTTGGAGTTACATGCGACACAAGTTGAAAATTGCAAAATTTTACTAAGTCAAGGGCAATAACTCTGAAAATACTAAAAATATCCAGACCAAAATACCCAGGTGCACAACTACACATGCTGATCAACATTCCTGTAAAGTTTCATGACTCTAGGTCAAATACTTTTTGAGTTACGTGCGACACAAAAGTGAACGGACGGACGGACGGAAGGACGGACGGAAGGACGGACAGACGGACGGACGGAAGGACGGACGGACAAGGGTAAATCTAAATGCCCGCCACTAACATGGGGGCACAATAAAAATAATAATAAATATTAAGAAAATTATACCATCGACAATAATTATTATTATACTAACAGATTTGGAAACATATATAATTATTATAATACTTATAACAAATAATAATAATTATATTAATTAATTATATAGTAATTTCTTAGAAAATCCTCTGGCAAATAGGTGAACAACAAGAGGGCCATGATGGCCCTGAGGTCGCTCACCTGTATATAGCACCCCCCCCCCCCCCCAATTTTTTACCCAAGGGCTTTTATTTGTTTATTTGAACAGACTTGGTAGACACCCATAAGAAGATGTTTCATGCAAAACATCTAAGTTCTAGCTCATTGGGTTTTTTAAAAGAAGATTTTTTAAGTTTTTACTATACACATATAGGGCCAAAAAAAAAAAATTGTTTGTTTAGGGTAACCTTCCCAAAATTTCTAGGTAGGGTAGGTAGGGATTTTTTTTTATTTTTTTTATTTTTTTTTTTTCAAAATCAGTCGTAAGTTCAGAGTGTTTTCTTGCACATGGCAGTCTTTCCTACACTACTGACATTGCTTGACTTTGTATTATCATATTTTATCATATAAACAATAATTCTGATTAAAATCTGCATATCTTTAATGCCATTTAATGTTATTTCAATATTGAATAAAGACAATATACCCAAACATGTGTTAATTTTGATGTTTGTTTGCTACAGGCACTACTTTAAAGTTTGACTCTAACCTGAACAGCAAACATTGCAGATTCTCATCAGCTTGCATGGTTGCAATTCTGCTGATCTGAGTCTACATTTGGTTGCATGGTAGGAGTTAAGGACAATAAAAGACCTAAAATGACATGCTGTGATCTGGCTTTCAAAGTTTCAGTTAAAAAAATCTAGACTTATTCTGTTTTTCACTATTTGATATTCATGCATTAAATACTGCACATTTCATTGAATTAACAATCTTGAAGCTCTTACAGTATTACAAAGTTTATATTTTGACACTGTGGTACAATTTAACAAAATGTATAATTCTGAATTGCACTTTTGATACACTGGTTCACATAAAAAGTGCAAACACTTCTATTTGTAAAATGACACCCTTGTCAATCAAATACTATTTATTTCTATCAGATACATGTATATTCAACATATCAAAGACAATAGCCAAGCTTTTTGATGAATTGGCATTTTTGTAGATGTCATTCAAAGTGTCGTCTCATAGTTTCCATGGCCCATCTGAAAAAAAAAAGCAAAGACTAGGTCTCTCAATAACACATGGAAAATGGGATACATTTGTGACGGTATGAAACAAAATGATGCACAGTCGAGTCAGACTCCAAGTCGGGTAAAAATTTGTTTCAGTATGCAAAAGAGGATGAAAAATATACTGGAAAAGCTTTGCAGATCTCCAGAATAGCTATGTACATATGACCTGCGGCTATACTTTATACTCAAGTGCACTTAGTCTTGATTTTCAGTGGGACCAGGGTCTCATTCATTTTGAAGTGTGGCACAGGACATATCAAAACAGCTTTTCAAATTTTTAAATATTAAAAGAAAATAAAAAAAATAGTGGCATTGATTTGAACTAAATGTGTTAAACCTTGTTATTTATGCAATAAAATATCAATATACTAAAAAAAAAAGAAATTTCACTGACAGGTATGCATGATCCGAGTACGAAAATTATGGGTATGTTCGTTCTCGGTGTCAAAATTTTCCACCGGCAGGTAATATCGTCGGATTTTCGCATGGAATCAATGCAATATATATTTTCTATCAAAATTGTCTATGAACAGATCCTTATTTACACGTAAATTTACCACAGTAAAGCCAGAAAGTCAGAAATCACCCAGGTCCGAAAGATGAGATCGTCATGACATGTATACTGGTGCCTCATATTTCCGTGGTACTTAACTGTTTAACACAGACAACAAAAGTTAAGAGGATAAAATTCTGGAAAACACAGTGCATATTGTAGGATAGACATGTCAATTGCATCAGAGTTTATTCCATTTAATGTTTGCATGTAAGCAATTATGTATACAACATTGTAATAACACCCACCTTGCAGCCTTGTGAGTAAATTTGTGTTCTCATATTTCCAAGGCAATTACATTTTAAACAGTTTCAAAAGCAAAAACCAATAGTAAACTTTATTTTTAATAGTACACCTATACCTAGGCTCATCTGAAAGGGGCAATTTTCTCTTGGGCATTTATCATATACCTCAATGGTTGTTTAACAAAGAAGATTTTCTTAAAAAGGTTTGAAATCTAAAACAAAAATGGTGAAATATTAAATAACTTTGCTCTAATCTGAATAAAATAAATCTTTTTAGTTCTATTTGAAACATTTTCGATAGAAATATAATAAAATAGTAAAAGTAAAACTTACCGGAAGGTTCATTAAGTCGAGGAGGCAGCTTAGACTTTTTTAGCCTGATACCTTGGAAATATGGGTACCACGGAAATACGAGGCACCAGTATACATTATAGCCTGGTATTTACGCTTGAAATACTACATCAACAAAGAGATCAAACGGGTCGAACACACATGCTAACAACTGGATTCTACATACTTTTAAATGGTTTTATCCTCCACGAGTGACACTAAGTCCTATGTGCCTGTATTTTAAGAAAAAATCTTCATGTATAAGAAATTCCTAAATCGGAAGTGTTTTCCCGCAACACGTGCTTGGTACCCCGTTCCGCTCTATGTCAATGTATGTAAAACGGAAGCCAGAGAATACTTCCGGTAGGAATTACCTTCTAAAAATATCGTCGTCATGTAGAATTTTTGTTTCCAATAGCGTGATATTCATTGGACCGCAATACAGCACGAACCAATCAAAAACACGTATAACTAAAATGACCGATCCAAATCGTCTGAGAGTTTTACGACAGCGTCTCAAGCGTTCAATTCGCATTTATCCGCCCTTTGAAACTCTCTATTCGCTAACGAATATATTTTTTTTTGTTCAGAAACGGAAAAAAATAGTTAGGGTCGGCGCATTTTTATAGGTAGGGTCGGGTTACCCGAAACAAACATATTTTTTTTTTAGGCCTAGTTAAAAACAATGACACCCCTTGGGCAGGGACAGTTTTGACCCCTGGGCTTTTATTTGAACAAACTTTGTAGATATTTACTGAAAGATATTTCATGCTTAATATCTAAACTCTAGTTATTTGGGTTTTTTCAAAGAAGATTTTCAAGTTTTTGCTATGCATATAAGGAAAATCAATGACCCCTGGCGGGGCCAGTTTTGACCCCAGGGCTTTTATTTGAACATACTTGGTAGACACCCATTAGAACATGTCTCATGCTAAATATCTTAGCTCTAGCTCTTTGGTTCTTTAAAAGAAGATTTTTTAAGTTTTTACTATATGCATATAGGGAAAATCAATGACCCCCTGGGGCGGGGCCAAATTTGACCCCAGGGCTTTTATTTGAACAAAACTTGGTAGACATTCACTAGAAGATGTTTCATGCCAAATATCTTTTAGCTCTAGCTCTTACAGTTCTTTAAAAGAAGATTTTTTAAGTTTTTACTATATGCATATAGGGAAAATCAATGACCCCCCTGGGGCGGGGCCAATTTTTGACCCAGGGCTTTTATTTGAACAAACTTTGTAGACATTCACTAGAAGATGTTTTATGCCAAAAATCTAAGCTCTAGCTCTTACCGTTCTTTAAAAGAAGATTTTTAGGTTTTTACTATATGCATATAGGGAAAAATCAATTACCCCCCAGGGCGGGGCCAATTTGACCCAGGGCTTTTATTTGAACAAACTTGAATAGACATTCACTAGAAGATGTTTCATGCCAAATATCTTAGCTCTAGCTCTTTGGGTTCTTTAAAGAAGATTTTTTAAGTTTTTACTATATGCATATAGGGAAAAATCAATGACCCCCCTGGGGCGGGGCCAATTTTTGACCCCAGGGCTTTTATTTGAACAAACTTGGTAGACATTCACTAGAAGATGTTTCATGCCAAATATCTTAGCTCTAGCTCTTACAGTTCTTTAAAGAAGATTTTTTAAGTTTTTACTATATACATATAGGGAAAATCAATGACCCCCCGGGCGGGGCCAATTTTGACCCCAGGGCTTTTATTTGAACAAACTTGGTAGACACTCACTAGAAGATGTTCCATGCCAAATATCTTAGCTCTTAGCTCTTACAGTTCTTTAATAGAAGATTTTTAAGTTTTTACTATATGTATATAGGGAAAATCAATGACCCCCCGGGGCGGGGCCAATTTTGACCCCAGGGCTTTTATTTGAACAAACTTGGTAGACACTCACTAGAAGATGTTTCATGCCAAATATCTAAGCTCTAGCTCTTAGGGTTGTTTAAAAGAAGATATTTAAAGATTTTTCTTTCGGTTGACATGGCAACCAGAGTTCTGCATGGAATTAAATTCTTTGAACAATTTTTAAAGGTGACCACCAAAGGAACATTCCTGTGAAGTTTGGATGAAATTGGCTCAGTGGTTTATGAGGAGATGTCATTTAAAGCAAAAGTTTACGGACGGACGACGGACGGACGGACGGACGCCGGACGAAAAGCGATCACAAAAGCTCATCCTGTCACTTTGTGACAGGTGAGCTAATAAAACAATAACCCTATGGCAGCGAAAGGGTTAAATATAAAGACAAATACCTATCAATTTTGGACTGGAATACAGTTTCATATTTACATTTGGTGAAAAAGTTATTGGTATACTTTATCATGAAAATGCTATTTCCATTCACAGGTTCAGCCCACTGAACAGAGCAAACCTTACAGAGTCGTTCAAGGCTATGGGAATTTCTCCAAAGGTACCTACACGAGTTGGTGGAACAAGATGGCTGCCCCACACGAAATTGGCTTTAAAGAATTTTCTTCATAGTTACGAGGCCATAACACAGCACCTAGAACAGGTATTTTTTTTAAAAAAAAACACATGTCCTTCTAACAAAGAACATTAACAATTTATATTTTAACATAAATTAACCTATTGGCTTAACTCAAATCATAAATGTAAATTCTTCTTAACAATTTATTAGTCTAAAACAGAAACATGGAATTAAGCACTTATATAAATTTAGGATTAAATAATTTCATTTGCTTTCTAGATACAGAACCCATCTGATCCTTCACACAGGAAAGACTCGGCAGCCAAAGGAAAGCATTTTCTTAGTGTCATGAAAAGTGAAAATACCATGTTTTGGATGCATTTTCTTCTGGATGTTGTTGTATGCTTGAGTATGGCACCTGAGGCCATACAAGAGGAAAATGCTAATCTGGCAGATATCTGGAATGAACTTGAAACAGTAAAATCTACTCTGAAAAAGTTTAAGAGCAGGTACTGATTTCTGGAATATTAGACTAGTTACTATATCTCCTATTCAGCTAAACAGCTTATCTATGTCTCCTATAATAGCATGTTGTATTTGTTGTGGCAGTTTGTATTGTAGCCTGTTTCTGTTGTGCTTTTATATATTCAAATCTGCTAGCTAGTATAACACTTTCTTGTAATCCTATCACTAATCTTTACCTTTACTTATATCATTTGTGCTATGCTTTATTTACTGTTTTGCTTAACCCTTTGTATGCTCTGCTTTAACAGTTTTGCTTACTAATAACCTGCTTTTTGACAGCAATGGACCAAATCTGCGAAAATTTGAATCTGAAAAGCAACATGATGAAGTCATGATTATTGATTCGAGTAGGTCACTGTTTCTCGATGAACTAGTTAGTGCCATAGACTGAAGATTCAGTGGTGACCTTCATTTATTTCGAGGCAGTTCCTTTATTAATTTTAGGAACTGGCCACAGTCTTCAAATGATGGAATAGGTACGAAGAGATTTAGGTATTGTGATTAAACCAAGCAACTTGATTTGATGTAAGAAGTAATTAACTGATTACTATTGCAGTTCATGCACATCCTTAACATCATACATAAAAATTGCTTCACCAATAGCCAGTAAGTAAACATTTTTTGTCATTAAAAGTCAGTTGATTAACTTTAAAACTAATTTCCTGTCTTCAGATGAGTTTGGTGATGAAGACATACAGTCTGTTTTGGCAGTTTGTGAGTCAAGCCTCAAAGAAGCTAATGTTGAAGTTGACAACATAGAACATGAATGGTCAAGACTGAAAACAGAGTTGTACAACAGGTATATCCAATGTTTAAGTAGCTATTCACTGTCCTTATCATAATAATTTCAGCAGGAAAATCAATTATTGCCATAAATTTAACTTTTAAAAGTATATTATTACATTGACATCCTGATGCAATCTTTATATTGGTTAGCAATTCATTTACATATATTACATATTCGTTTTTTTTTAATAGCAACAGGGACATACATAGCTTGAAATGGAAACAACTGTGGGAACAACTGCATACAAAATACCCAAACATGTTTAGCTTAGTCACATACCTACAGACACTTCCTTCAAGCTCAGTTGATGCAGAAAGAGGGTTTTCAAGGTATGAGTTTATGTCTGTAATAAATTTCAATATCATTTTTCTTCATTGGTTTTCTGTTGTAACCAGTCTTTACTGGTTATGGTTTAAATTTTGTTAGACTGTATATATTCTTCACTATATTATAGAATGAAGATGGTAAAGAGTGACTGGCGCTCCAAACTGAGGGATGATCATTTGACTGACTTAAAGCTAGTTTGTATTGAAACAAGAGCTGTCAGAAGGACAGCGCGCTCGACTTTTTTAGTGCTTGCCTATAAAACAAAACTTTGACAGTTAAGGGCACACAAGACTTTAACTAGGAATTTCTAAGTACAAATCAAGAAACATTTTCACAGAGTTATCTTCTCTTGCTTACAGATAGGTCTCATGATGGCACATAAGAACTCCAACTTCCAAAGTAATATCTCAAATGGTTAAGTCAACAAGTGGACAAGAATGAAAATCTTAACTGAGTTTCTAAGTCAAAAAGGGCCATAATTCAAATAAAATCCTTAACAGAATTACCTTCTCCTGCCATGTTTGGGACCAATGATGGTAAACAAGTATTCAACTTTCAAATTAATATCTCAAACAGTTCAGTCAAAAAGTGGACTGGGTACTAAAAACTTAACCAAGATTCGTAAGTCGATAAAAGGCCTTAATTTTTAAAACAAATCCTTGACAGAGTTACCTTCTCTTGCGTACAGATGGGGGTAATGATGTGAAATAGCATTAAAAGTTTCAAAGCAATATCTCAAAGGGTTAAGGCAATAAGTGGATTTTACCCATATTCAATGTATTTTCTAAGTCAAAAAGGGGCATAATTCTGTCAAAAACCTTGACAGAGTTATGTCCTCTTGTCTGTTGATGAAGGTCGTGATGGTAAACAAGTATGGTCAGTTTCAAAGCAATACCTCCAATGGTTTTGAAATAAAGTGAGGTGGTACAAAAAACTTAACCAAGCTCAATACACTTTCTAAGTCAAAAAAGGGCCATAATTCTGTCAAAAACCTTGACAGAGTTATGTACTCTTGTCTGTAGATGGAGGTTATGATGGTGAACAAGTATGGTAAGTTTCAAAGCCATACTTGTAATACTTCTGAAATAAAGTGGGGTGGTACGAAAAACTTAACCAAGGTGTGACGCCAACGCTAACGCCGACGCCGGGGCGAGTAGGATAGCTCCCCTTTTCATAGAAAAGTCGAGCTAATAACAAACGACATTTCAAGCTATGACCCAGAGCCTGCTGTCCACCTATGGAATTCCTGTGCCCTAAGAGCAAGGAGGCCTTATCATAATGAGAGAAATTTAAAGGTTATCCAGGATCTTTCTATTTTTTTTTTTTATTTCTATTGAATCTTAGCATACATTAATACCAAAAAGGTAAATTTAAGGCAGACATGGTCATCACCATTAGACTCAACATAACTTATTTAAGCATGACTGTTATCTGCAGGACTTGATAATTATTTACATCAAATAAAAATAAAGTATTGAAACTTCTAACCAAATTATTTTACTTCAGTATTACTATTTTGAAATCTGTGGTAGTAATGCCCAGGTCTTATGTTTCAGAGATGTGTCAATGACAATGTTGTCAGAACGCAACCAGAGGATAAAACCATACAACATCCAGAAGTAGAGTATGATATTAATACCATTGTTCAGTCATTGGGTGAAGAAGATGATGAAGAGGAGGAGGATGATGAAGAAGAAGAAAACCGTTGCCTGCAACATGACAGAGATATATTGCAAGCAAAAGCTATGAGATTGCTATTGTCTTCTCTGTAATTGTGGTGAAAAATAAAACAAGAAATACTCTAAAATCGTGTAGTTATTGTTATAATAAAATTCATATTCATGACCAAAATCATAAATGTGGGATCCTTAAACTTGAGGAGGAATCTCTTGTCTGAGAGCTGAAGATTCCTGCTGGATCCCAAGTGATTTATGTTAAGGTTGAACCCTGCCTATTGCATTGTTTATATTTATGTCGAAGTTTAAAATTGACCATCATCGAGAAGAATTATATCTTCTTTGTTGAAGGACAAAAGGATCATGTGAAAATATTGGAAATGGAATAAAATACAAGGTGATTTTGACGGAAAGTGTGCAGATTTTTTCCGGCAAACATTTTTATCATGTGTATTATTATAGACTTTGAAATGTGAAATTTTTTTCAAAATGGCTTAAAATAAGTTTTTTATAAATATATATGATTAGTTCATGTGCTGGGATTGACAAATATACATTTTATATAGATTTTAAAGGAGTTTTGAGGTCCACACCAAAGTGTCTGTGCCTCAGATGACTTACTTTTGTGTTTCACAAAGGCTGAAATTGCTGTCAGTTGGTGGGGCTTTGCCCTTTCTAAACCATTTTTCCCCCTCTGAACCCCCAAATAGGGGTATTGCCTCCATGAGCCTACTGGGAAAGGAAGCAAAGACCCCCATTCTACTTTTCAAAATCCTACTTTAAAACAAAACTACCATCCCTTAAAAAATTTGTATTATGATTTGCATTTTCAGAGAAAGCTATTTTTAGCCATGCAATCAAAACGATTTTTACATAGGCATTAGAAGAAGTATCAAACTACCGTTATCCATGGAAGTTAAACAAATTGTTGATTTTTGTTAGAAAAAACATGTTTGGAGTAATTTTTAACAAATAAACTTGAAATAATAGTCAATTTTTAATGTGCAAGGTTATTTTGCCAGTTTACCTGTTGGCTATATGGACAACGTCATGTTCGTTCTCTTCATCGTGAAAATTTCCTATTCAGTATTGGTTTTCCCAGCATTAAAATTAGCATTCAGATTGATTTCAAAATTATGAAATCTCGTCAATGATTGGCTGTTTGAACTTTGAAGTCACCAGAAATAATTTCTTATATCGCCACACTCAGATCTAAAAGCGGAGCGTGATTTAGAGCTGATTTTAATCAGATTGCAGGTTTTTTGGTAATTTCTATTGATCAAGATTCTCAGCATATTTGAAATGATGTTCATTTAGCATCTATGTAGCCAAGTCTGACATTCCAGGTTGTGTATGTGCTATTGACTAGCACTTCATTTTTGCTTAAAAAAGCCTGTTTCACTTAAGATTTTCTAGCACTAAACATTCTCAACATAAAATAAAATCCAAGGAAACTTGGATAGAAAAATTTAAATGGTTGTTAATAAAAGTTGTTGATGAACATGTAAATTATTTTTCTACATGTTATTGTAAAGCAAATTTATTATATGATTACTTCTTATGAAAAAAGTAATAGCACAATTTTACAGTCTAGTGCAATTGATAGAAATCAAAACAACATTCCAGCAAATGCTCATCAATTCTAAACTTCCAAAAGCTACACAAAACAGCACAAAGCTCAGACTCAAGGGCCTGACTGTGTTGAATATGTCTTAATTTGTAGGAAATTAATTTTTTTTTAAAAACAAGAGGGCCATGATGGCCCTGAGATGCTCACCAGAAACAACTGCTTTTCAGTGTTGGAAATTATCCATTGTCAATATTTTCTCATATTAAATTCACAGTAGGGAATCACGTGACTTTTACGGTTACGCGTACAGACAATATGGCGGCCTAAAAACCTCGCTTTTTCATGTGTTTTTCAGGTAATTCTTTATTATATCCCTTTTACTTACATACGAGACCTGTTGCAGCCTACGCGGAATAAAGAATTGTTGCCGCCTATACCTTATTTTCCACCCCTGTGCTCATAGCTTTTACAGACACCCAAAAATTCAACAGGAATTTTCAATGTTGACAAGTATTTTTCGGGTAACATTCACGCAATCTTTGTATTTTTTATGAATTTGATTGAACTACGTAGAGTTAGCAAAGAGAAAATGTTCATAGAAGTTCTTTATTTGAAAATGTAAATATTAGGCATGTTAAATGTTGACTGGTCATTTTCTATTCCAACACACAAGAGAAAAATGATTTGGGTAACGGCCACGCAAACTTTTATTGTTGATAACTCTCACGCAATATTTTATGTCCAAGCAATATCTATGCAGGCTATAGCCTAGATATTGATTTTAATAAAATCATGATCGATGTATTTAGCCTTAAACGTTCATAGAATTTTAAATAATACAGTCTAACTTGTCCATGCGACCACGTGTATTAAGCGACTTTTGTCTTAAACGACCACTTTAAATTCCCCCCGATCATTTTCTCTCTATATCTTTAATGTATTAAGCGACTTTTGCTCAACGCGACCAGCGACCGCTAATTAGTCACCTAATTGACATCTTTTCATTAAACGACCACTTTTACCTGTCAAGTAATTGTGTTTTTAGAGAACGCCACCTCGTTATGTCACAAGTGTCAGCAATCAAAACACAACACTAAACGTGTGAAAAACTCTATTTCCCATACCGTTTTAGCGTATGCAAATGAAGTTAAGTATACGCATGATTCAATAATATCGGATAAACAATGCAACGCTCCGCCCATACTGAGATGGTGTATACGCTTCGCTTGTTGACATTTAGACTGCATTGAATTGACCTTGAACTTGATCAGCCATTAAATTAATCGTAACAAATAGATGTAGTTTGTTTATTTCAAATGAAAACAAGAGCTGTCAGTAGGACAGCAACGCTCGACTATTCTTAGTGCTTGATAGTAAAAGAGCATTGATAATGTAAAATTTTCAGAGTTAATAACAAAAGGACAAATTTTTTCTTTAAATCCATGTTAAAGTTATAGGCCTTGGACAGAGTCCTATTATGTTCTCAAAGTATAAAATATCAACTTGTTTCAATAGAATATGAAAATATCTGAGGTGGAATGCAAACCTAAAAGTAAATTCTAAGTTGAAAAAGGGGCATAATTCTGTCAAATTGCTTGATACAGTTACCTCCTCCTGTCAACAGGTTGGGGTCATGATGGTGAACATGTGTGCAAAGTTTCAAAGCCATATGTCAATGGACTTTGAAAATATTTGAGGTATTACAAAAACTTAAAACATAAATTCTAAGTCGAAAAAGGGGCATAATTCTGTCAAAATGCTGGATACAGTTACCTCCTCCTGTCTACAGGTTGGGGTCATAATGGTGAACATGTGTGCAAAGTTTCAAAGCCATATGTCAATGGACTTTGAAAATATTTGAGATATTACAAAAACTTTAACATAAATTCTAAGTCAAAAAGGGGCATAATTCTGTCAATATTGTAGGCAGAGTTATCCAACTTTTCAATCTGATGTACCTTGTTACTATAAATAAGTATTGTAAGTTTCAATTGAATATCTCAAGCAATAATTGAGATATTTGACTTTACAAAAAACTTTAACCAAAATTTCTAAGTTAAAAAGGGGCATAATTCTGTCAATAATGTAGGTAGAGTTATCCAACTTGTCAATCTGATGTACCTAGTTACTATAAATAAGTATTGTAAGTTTCAATTGAATATCTCAAGCAATAATTGAGATATTTGACTTTACAAAAAACTTTAACCAACGCAGACGCCGACGCGGACGCTGACGCCGACGCCGACGCCGGGGCGACTACAATAGCTCTCATATTCTTCGAATAGTCGAGCTAAAAATGCACAACAGAAAACATCTTCACTAATAGGGTTTTCGTGTTGGAGACAAGGAAAAACAACGGAGAAGTTAAAAAATTCTGGAAAAAATGTCAAACATGTACGTAATGGATCAAAACTGATTTTGTCAATAAATATCAGAACGTTATTTTTACATTTGCATCCGTTTAGATTATCGGAGCGTACTTATTATTCAACATTTATATAAAAATGGAGTTGAAAAACAATCCCATCGATTAAAAAAGATGTCATTTATAAATTTTGACTTTTATATCATGCTGACCGTCTTAAGAGACCGTTTCATTAAGCGACCGTTTTTGGTGTTTCCCTTGCCCGGTCGCTTGATACACGTTTGACTGTATTTAAAATACCGCCAAAAGGTCCTTGATAGAATTAAGCGCCTATGGGTAGCAGAATACATATATTAAATGAAGTTTCGATATAGAGATATAGATGAATTAATCGCAGAAATTAAAATAAAAGTCTCAAATATAAGAAGGAGGTCGATTTCAGTTTAAGCACAATTACAGTTGTCATTTTTCATAGTTTGCAGATATGGACGGTTGCAGCTCGGATATTGTTTGTGGATAATGTTGGAAAACATTTCGTTCACGGACAGGTCTTAATGACCACTTAAACTGGCTACTCGGCACAGGACCTTGTAAACGTTGTGGCAAATCGAACTGTCACAGGTATGGCATTTTACTGTTAATATTAAGATTTTAAAGACATTCAAATCATTTTATCACTTAGTCTCTTATGTAACCAATTATTTTTAAAATTAGTGTCTGTATTTAATATAATTATGTTGTTTTTTTTTTTATTCTAAAGCAAAAACAAAAAAAAAAAAACAAAAAACAAAAACAACAACAAGAGGGCCATGATGGCCCTGAGTCGCTCATCAGAAACAACTGCTTTTCAGTGTTGGATTGTCAATATATTCTAATATTAAATTTGAGCATAGAATATGTTTAAACAATAATTTGAGGAAATGCCATGACCTGGGGCATTTAAGCTTTAGCTTAAACGGGACCAATCAAATTAATATGAGCAAACTTGATAAAAGACTACCAAAGAATGCTACAGACAAAGTTTGTTGATCATCAATCAATTAGTTCTCTACAAATAGACATTTAACGGCATTTCTATTTTTAGCTTTAGTGGCCCCTAAAAGGGGCTAATCAGATTAATATAAGAGTACCCAAGAATGCTACAGACAAAGTTTGGTGATCATCCATCAATTGGTTCTGAAGTAGAAGATATTTTTAGCTATAGCAGCCCCTAAAAGGGGCCAATCAAATTAATGTGAGCAAACTTGATAAAAGATTACCTAAAAATGCTACAGACAAAGTTTGGTGATCATCAATTCATTAGTTCTATAGGAGAAGCTATTAAAACATATTT